GGGAGGGGGGGGGGGGGGGTGCCCTCTCAGGTGGGGGTGACAAGGCCGGGGCCCCGTAGTCCGCAGACTCCCGCCAATCCCCGGCTCTTCCCCTTCTCACACCCCGGTGAGGGGACACACAGGGGCCCCGGGCTGAGCGGGCTTCTTCCGCGCCAATTTCCAGGCGCCCTTCTCTGCCTTCCCTCCAACGCCGGGCTGAGGGGGCGGGCAACCCGCCCGGAGATTCCTCACCGACACCCGAAAGCTGCTCCCCCCCTGTACCCCCACAATCCCACACCGGGGCGCCAGGATGGGTCATTAACCCTTGAATTGCCGCCAATAAAAAAAGCAAATCTGCATTTTATTGCAAATTAATACAGAAACCACACAGATCGATGACACCCCCCACAAAATAAAACCCATCTGCACCCCCAAAGATGGTCACTTAAGGGGTCATTAACCCCTTCACTACTTGAAGAAAAATGTACACCCCTCCATTCAATGCTAGTTAATGAGGAACCTGCAATCAGGATAAATATTACTATCCCCCCATACCGGGGAGCAGCTGCCAATCCGGTGGCGGTTAACCCTTTCACTGCCGTGCACGACCTTCTCCCTCCATAAAACCTACATTGTGCTCGCGGGAAAATCCTGACACCCAACACCTCCCCCCCTCACAGCCATCTGCGTCCCCCAATCCCGGGGTCCATCTGTACCCCCCCAATCCCATTTGTACCCCCAATCCAGATCTCCAGCTGCTATGCAACTAACCCCATCGGTGCCAGAAATGCTGAGCAAGTCTGCAGACTGTTCCCTCCATATAATACATATGATTCGTTTTATTAGGATCAATATTATAGACCTGCTTCCCTCCCCCCATCCGCCTGCCCCAGCTCAGATCCGGTACAAGAAGCGGGATCTCTGACCCGCTAAAATACGAATCGTCTGCAGGTCGTGAGCGATCTACGTGTCCCCCGGATGATCCGTGTGATGACAGACATGATAATACCGATTACAATGATAGGTGATATAAGGACATTGAATGTCCCGCCACCGCTCAGCACTCACCGGACACGATCACTCTGCTGCACTAACCGGGATCTCAGCTGATCAGCTGGCGCCAAGCCTCTTTATATGGGGAGGAGGGACTGCGCATGCGCCCCGTCCCCTGGCCCGGATCACACTGCAGGTTGCCCCCCACTGCCGGGCCGCCTGCTGGACGAGGCTGGGGGAGGGGGTGGCATGTCACCTTACTGTATTCCTGCGCAGCCAGGCACCCAGGTGTGAGATGCTGGGGGAGGGGGCAGTTCTGTACAAATAGCTGTACAACCATTGCTGTGAGCAAAGAGTGGGGTACACACCCCCTGGGAAGGTTGGGGTACACCTAATGGGTGGCATGTCAGCTTACTGTATTCCTGCACAGCCAGGCACCCAAGTGTGAGATGCTGGGGGGAAGGGAGTTCTGTACAAATAGCTGTACAGCCATTGCTGTGAGGACAGAGTGGGGTACACACCCCCTTGGAAGGTTGGGGTACACCTAATGGGAAGGGGCATGCACCTGGCACTTGGTGAGCTATCTAGCTACAAGCAAATGTAACCAAAGCGCAGTATCAGATGATGCAACACACACACACAGCATTGTGATCGACCGATATACGACAGATCGGTCACACATGGAATCGATTTTTTATTTTTTTTAAAGCCGATCATTTCATTGATCATGAATCAATTGCAAATATTAATTAGATTGATCAGAAGAAATTCTGCCACGGCCGATGGACTTTGCAGAGTTGGAATAGATCGGTTTAGTCGCATTGAACGGTTATAGTGAGAAGCGCGTGTGGCCGGCTTTGAATCGCAATGTAAACGAGCGCCACGCTCATCCGCTTTGCTGCAAAGTAATTATCAAATAGCAAGCAAGAGACGTTCATCGGAGAGTCACCGTGTGCTGGACAGGAAGAGCAGGGGGGCGGCCATCTTGGTACACCAGATTGTAATGTAAATCTAGAGCCCTCGACATACAATCTGCATGTGTGCTCGATTCCTGAGGTCACAATGATGTCGGAGGATCATGCAGATGTCACAGGCGGTAGGACTGTCCACACCCTAGAATGTTATACCGCACAGTACTCTATGAGGCGCTGTTACATGCACCACACACGTTACAATATGATTGTACAATCTCCTTTGAATATGTAGCGGATAGAGGCCGGGCCTCACATTACACAGCTCATATTGTAATGTGTGTGGTCACCCTTAGTCTGGCCCTCACACCCCCACCACTTATGAGGTCTTAGGCCACCTCAGCACCCCAGATGTTGTGGAACTACAAATCCCAGCATGCACCTCCCTCTGGGAGCCATGCCTGTGGCTGTCACAATCTTGCAATGCCTCATGGGACTTGTTGCACCACAGCCTGAGTTTGCCCACCCCGGGTTAGACAATGTATCCAGGTTCATGTTTTTGCTGGTCACGCGCCTGCGCCGTCTTTAGTGGGGGAGGGCTACCGTGCCAGCGCAGTCATATGCTGCAGCACCACTCAATCAGTGCGACATGACTTCTCCAAGCGCGCGGCTGTATAGAGACACGCTCATGGCGTGTTCTCCCGTAAGGGGTGGACAATAAACCATAACGCCATGGTGTGCACAATCCCTCAAAGACAAACCTGTGACCTGCCTTAGCCGAGGAACTGGTAGTCCAGGTGGCCATGGCGCTGCATGATGCTGTAGCGGTGTATTCTGGAGGTAATGGCCGCCTCCAGGGCTAGGTAGCTATTTAAAGGGAACCCCAACATAAAATGTTCAGTTGACTGACAAATGTAGATTTTGGGGTGCTCCCCAATGCTCCATCACCCACCCCCTTGTATTGTATATCTCAGGTCCTTCTATGGGGAGACCCACAGTTGTGCTTTCCCTGGCTGGGCCCTGGCACAAGGGACACCCAAGTATTTTACAGGATTTATATAGCACCAACAGTTTTTGCAGCGCTGTACAATATAAGGAATACATTTGTTATAATACAAGACGGTAATATCAATAATATGAAATATAGCAGTGAGAACCCCTCCCCCCCAAACAAGGGGGCCCCATAAGCCCTTGCCACCTATACTGGGCCTCTACCTATGACAGCACCATAGGCACATGTTTGTGGCATGCAGGACTTTGTACTCTGCTCCAATCTGCAACCTCTCATCTCAAATAAAGTGAGCACATATGATGTCTAATGCTGCACCATTGCTGGGTGTCCGGGCACAGCGTCTCTGTATACATGATGTGGCATTTGCTGAGCACACAATGTCTGCCCCCTCCCCCACCATTCATGGAGGCGGCTGTAGAGGTCAGCACAGACCTTCCTCACCTCGTACTGACAAAATACAAATCCTGCAACAGCCAGATTATCATAGAGAGCGGAGCACAGTCTCAGAGGGGGGGCCGGGTGTTGTAATGCAGCGGCAGCCCACCGCGGCTCTCCCCCCTTTGTTAGTGCTGGGCGCGCAATGTTCCCGGCAGTGACGGCCGGGGAGGTGAACCCGCTCTTTTCTACCATCCGTCAGCAGTTCAAATTTCCCGCTGGATTCTGCAATGCTGCGTGTAGACACGCCCCCGTGGGCAGGACTCGCCGGCAGCGCCAGCCAATAGCAGAAGAGGAAGTCAGAACAACGTGGCCGGCTGGAGAATGTAAACACAGCGCCAGGGAAACACGTGTGCTGCCGGGGGAGGGGCGGGCCCAGCTGTCAGTGAGAGCGGCTAGAGCTGTCTGACTGGTGGAGCCTATTGTGCAACGACTGCAGCTTGTGTGCCCTGCCTGAGGGCTGTGACAGGAGCTGGGAAGAGCTGACAGGAGAAAACAAAAAGTGTATGTATTGTATATATCTATTTTTTTAATACGTTTAACCAGTTGACATCCGCGGTGTTAAACCCCCTTCCCATCCAGGCCATTTTTCAGTATTCAGGGCTGCGGTACTTTAACTGACATTTATTCCGTCATGCAGCGCTGTACTGAAATGAATTTTATACCCTTTTTTGGGGACAGATAGAGCTTTCTTTTGGTGGTATTTATTCACCACTGGGGGGTTTTATTTTTTTACTATATTAAGGAAAAATTACCGAAATTAAAAAAAAAACAGTTTCCCCT